CGGCGGGAGCGCGTCCCGTCCGGGTCCCGAGGAGCCACCGCCGCCGCCGCCACTGCCGCTCGCCAACATGGCGGACCTAGAGGCCGTTCTGGCCGATGTCAGCTACCTGATGGCGATGGAGAAGAGCAAGGCGACCCCCGCCGCCCGCGCCAGCAAGAGGATCGTCCTGCCGGAGCCCAGGTACCGGCTTCCCGGGCCCGCGCCGCCCCCTCGCGCCGCCGCCCCCCGCGGCCGCCAGCGACCCCCTGCGTCCGGGAGGGTCGGGTGCTCCGTCGTTGCAGCCCCGGGGCCGGCGACCTCGGGGAGTCGGCGCTGCGGGGTCGGCCTCGCCGTTCCTGCCTCTGGAATGGGGTAGCGTGCGCGGTAGCTGCTGCGAGCACTCGGGGAGAGAGCGCCGCAAAGTGCCCTGCGCGCGGCGAGCACCCCAGCGAGGGGCTGGTGGCATGTGGCTGTGACTTCGCTGGACCAGCTCCATACCTGTCGCCCCCTTCTGTCCCATCCCTGTCTCAGTCCAGCCCCATCCCTGTCCATCCTAGCCTTATCCTTGCGTTGCTCCCTGTCCTGCTGTGGCTGTCTCCTGCCCTGTCCCTGCCTCATGCCTGCCATTCCCTTGTCCTCCATCCTGGTCGTCCCTTCCCTGGCTCCTGCTGTCCCCCTTTCCAACTCCATCTGCTCAGCTCCCTCTGGACTCCTTAGCTGGGGAGTGCAGGCGTATTGCCTTTTGTCCCAGGTACTTAAACTGCAGTTTTCAGTGCATACTCCCCTTGAGGTTCACTAGTCTAGTGAGCTTCCTACCCTTCTTTCCTTTCCTCTTTGTGTCCCCAGGCGGTAATGAGTAGGTTGTGACCCACGCAGTTTTCTTTTTGGTACTGAGTGTGTCACCTGAGCTGCTTCCTTCGACTTGCTGATCTCTTGGTGGCACTTTGTTAAAAGATTGAAAAAGGATTCACTGAAAAATGCACATCGAATGGTGATTGCAGACAGGAATTTGTTGTTTAAGTGACCAGAGACGGGCCCCATGAAATTGGCATGGGGCTCGGTGAGGTTCATACCAAGTTGTACTTTTGTCTCGAAAGTGATTTCTTATTGATGAGCTAGTAAAAGACTTCACTAGTTCACATCCTTAGTACGAGCCCAGAAGATATCGTTCATCAGATTAATAGTGGTTTTCTAATAGTGCATGAAAGCATTAGGGTTGGGTCTCCCCGTCCCACCCCGCTTCTTTCCTGATTAACACCATCATGAGTTGTACAGCGACTGTGGCTCCTTGACAAAAATTTAGCTCTTGGTGGAAAAAAAAAAAGGCATCTTCTGTATGGTGACTTTGAAGACATGCAATTTTGTAAAATATCAGAATCGACACCAAATCTATTCTCCATTGGAAAGCGTCATTCCTTCAAGTGTCATACACCTAAGATTGCTTCAGTGTTCTCTTGACATAAGAAAAAAAAATCTTTCTTTTGATGCTAAGTGATCATCAGATTGTTTTTACAAGTCCATTTAAGAGCCCAAGCCCTACCATAATGAAAATATCAGCCCCTTTGAGTTACTTGTTGTGAAAAGCCAGATTGTGTAAATGAATACGTGCTTGCTAGATATTTTTGGCTTGCTGGCCCTTCTTAGTCCATGCATGTTGTTGGTTGCAGGGAGAGCTCTTTGATAAGCAATGCCAAGCACTGAAAATCAGGGAAGAGTGCAGACTTTTTGGAGTAATGTGAACTTGACACTCCTGGTCCAGACTTTAACATGCTGATGCTCCTTGAAAAATCAGCACTGTTTAAAATTTCTGGCAAATGGCAAATTAAGTAAAACAAGAACCCTCAAATCAAGCCCTCAAATGAATTTCATTAAAAAAAACCACTACATTTCTCTAAATGTGGTATAAAATGCTTAATTCATTTTTCTCCTGCCTTTCCTACTCTTCCTAAAGGGCAGGGAGCCCCAACTATATAGTTTCTATATATAAAAATCAAATCTTAACTTGTGCAGTTTGTGTGTGTGTGTGTGTGTGTGTGTGTGTGTGTGAGTGTGTGAGAGTGATATAATATCATTAAAATTAGGAACTTCTGTTCATTTTTTTTCTTGGTGTTTCGAACTTAATGTGACTTCTGCTTTTTTAGTGGCCCTCTTACAGACATATTATGTGCTGAGAGTATTTACTTCCTTGTATTAAATGCCTTTGTTTTTGGTGGGATTCTTTAGTAATGCTTTTTTCTTTCAAAGCAGAATCAGTGTGAGCATATTTCTTACGACATTTTAGAAATGAGAAATATCAACAGGAGAGTAATTTTAGCAAAGAGCTGTTTAGTAATTGTTATTCTGTTGCTTTTTTTTAGATAGACTCTTGAATTAGGCCATTGGAACCTCCTCCAGGGATTCTAACTTGTTTTGTATTTATCTCAAAGGCTTTGGCTTCAGTTTTGTAATGTGACCATTTAATAGTAACAGCCACTCCTTGTACTGTTTCAGGATTCTGTTACCTTGAGATTATCAGGTAAAACATTGTGCAATTTTTTTCTACCACTGGATGGCAGTTAGTGGCCTACCTGCTCTATTTTGGGGGAGGGGGTGAGGTGGGAATGGAAGGTTAGGGGATTTCTAGGCATGGTAGGAAAGTTAATTTCATGTGAAAATGCCTCAGAATAGTGACTCAAAAAGACTAGTGTGATTTCACACTTTGGTAAAGGTTACTGGTCAAATGTTTTCTAATGAGAGTTCCTATTTTAGCTTCATTTGGGGGTGATCCGTGTGATCACCAGCCTTTGGTATTCTTGAAAAAGAAGTTTAGGTTTGTATTTTTAGTATCTAAATGAGAAGCATAAACCTTGGCACTGGCCTATCTATCACTAGTAACTTTTTATTTGCAGCCAATTATTTGAAGTCACTATAGTGTTCTGTGGGCTTCCTTATTTTAGTTACTGTGCCTTTTCCACAGTTTTTGACAGAAAAGCAACAGAACTAAACAATATCTAGTTAACTTAAATGAAACGGCTGGGGCTGCGGTCCCCTGCTATTTGGGGAGAATCTTGGAAAATGGAACATTCTGCCCAGGGGAGATTTTACTTGTCTGAGACAGCAAGAGGGAACCATTTTGTTATGTTGACACATTATTCAATTAACTTACGAACAGAGTGTAAATCGTGTAAACGCTGGCTATTTGTTCAAATTATGTAGCTGCTTTCCTTTACTGAACCATTTGTTGAGCTAATGAAGCTGATAATGGGGTCTATTGGGAAGAGTAAACGGATCCAAGGACTCACTGTGCAGGCCCAGTTAAAAACGTGAGCATTCAGGCGTGCGTGCCAGTTGTTTTATGCCATGTTAGAAAATAAATACTTTCATTTAATAGGGTCCGATTCATAAGCCGCCGCCTACAGAGGGTCAGCATCTTAGGTAAGGCTTGGAGTGATCAGGGCACATTTTACTTCAGGCTCATTACTCTTTCAGCCTTTTTCACACAGAATGAAATTCGGTTGACTTGAACTCACACATGGTTGAGCGAGGTTCAGTAACACGAAACTGATCTCTCCCCCGGAGTGTCATTTCTGTTTCGGGGACACTGACAATTTTGGATCATCAATTGCAAAGCTTGCCCTTTCCAAGTATTCATACACTATGGTAGGAAGTTCTGAAAACAGTATTTTTAAAGATTCTGTTTGACTTCCTGGGAGCACTTAGTCCTTAAGGACGTTGGTGGTACCGTTTATTATGTGAATTCAGCACATGGCTGTAAAGCCATTTCTCTGAGCCAGGCAGGCATGGGGATGGTGTGAGGAACTTGACCAAAGCCTTCAAGGGGCTTCAAGTCTGGTGGCAAATAACACAAAGAATTGAGCCAAGAAAGATGTTTACTTTTAAGTGCAGTTGCTTGAAGACTCTATGTAACTGTGGACAAGCATTTAGATGGCTTTTATTATCCTGTATTCAGAGAACACTTTATGTTTGCTAATTATTTTACCATAATTTGTTAATTATTCCCTTTGAAGCACTACCTAGCCATAATATGCATAGTAATAGGGTAGTTTGTGTCTTCCTATTTGTAAACCTATATACACATAATTGATCTTGAAAAGTCGCTCAGTGTTTTCTTTCATGGAAATGGAGTTTCTTCAGTAATTTCCCAAACTTCGTTATTTTTCTCAGTTTTGGTTGTAAGGTTCCCTGGTCTGTACTCGCTGTGCCCCCAGCCTAACTTTGAACTGAAAAGTCAATGTTGAAAGAAAGAATAGCCTCCGGGAAGAAAGTATTCTGTATTGTTGATGGGAGTATTTATATGTATAAAACAGTGGTGGTGTTCTTGCTTCTTTTCACTAAGGTATGGACGGATTCAAAATGTAATTAGCTCTGACTTTTCAGTTGTATTTCATTCTCGGTTCAAGTTAATTTGTGCCAGTGACTTGAAGATGTAAGTGCTGCGTGGAGCTGTCACTTCTTAGAAATAGCTGTTCCAGTGCAATCAATTTTGCATCGAGAATCTGCCCAAGGAAAGCACCGTGCAGTGCTTTGAATCGCCAGCCCTTTAGATCTCTGAGGTGGAGGCAGTCCCCTCTTTTCTATGCAGTGTGTTCTTAGAGACGGCCCCTTGAAAGCATCACCTCAGACATGGAATTTGGCTTTGCCAAATGTCTGTTTGGACAAGGATGGGAACTTTCAGATTAGGTGCTGAGGCTTGCATAAGGGAAGTCTAGGTCTTCATCAGTCAGTGGATGGAAACGCAGAATCGTAGAGAATAGCATACCTGGGGTCCTCACAGCCTTGACAAGGGAACGAGAACTTGAACTTCCATGAAGTAGCAATGTAATAACCACCACTTATTGACAGCTTACCCTCTGCCAGGCAGTTTGCAGAATTAGTGCATTTGTTCTCCACTGTTATCACGTACGTAGCATCAGCCCCATTTTACTGAAGGAGCAGGTGCTCAGGGAGATTAAGGAACTCTGCCCAGGTGACAGCTGAACTTGGCCGAGGTTTCCCTGCATCCAGGTTCTTTACACCTTGCTGTGCCTTCTCACCAAAATGAATAATGAACACCTTCACCCCATATCTTGCAAGGAATGGATGAAATAGCGCTACCTCTTGGTTTGGGGAAAAATCATTTTGTGGGCCATCTCAATCTGCTGCTAGTGCGGTATTTGAAGAGTCGGGACTGTTTTTAGAGACTGATAGAGAGCAGCTATTAC